GTCATTCCCTGGGCATATCAACTACCAAAATTATTAATGCAGGGTAAATGAAGAAATGATGCTATATCTTCTGACATACTAGTGCACTATGGCAGATGAGAAAAGCAGTCTGAGATCAGAACAACTCTGGTCTGAAGATAGATGAAAAAACCAGACAACTCAGAAACAATTGCTGTACTTATTCAAGTGAAACACCCATTAAGGAGCCATATCCCCAAATAAAGATAGCAGAATTATCCTAAAAGAGATATCTTTATGCAGTTCTTGTATTTAAATGTAATACTTTAATGAAAACACGCTAACAATCAGCTTCCAAAAACATTTAGTTCCAAATAGCACCAAGTAGGTACCTAAATAAAATGACTAGAAATTTAAAAAATATCATCACTGCATATTTTCTCAAAGCTCATGATATTACAGATTTTGCCACTATTAAGACAAGAGAAAACAAAACCTCATTCTTACAGCTTGAGAAATGTCAGATGTGCAACTTTAGCTTTAGAAACATGAGAGCTATTGTTGTTAGCACAAATTATAAATGCTGGATGTCACTGTATTTTAACCACAGCAATGTCTTTCATTTTTGTTGTCAACATTCCCAGAGGCATGAGTTTACAGATTTTTGAAAGACTGAGGTTATCAGAATCTGCTCTGCTGTACTTCTGTATACGGCACTAAAACGTTCTTCAGATTTAAAATCTAATTTAGTTTCTTTACATAGAAAAGCAAAACTGTTCATACTCACAACAGCCTAGACATACTTACAGTAAAGAGGTGAGATGAGTTCTGCTGGAGTAGAAAGTATTTTAGTATGTAAAAAAAAAAAAATTATCCAAGATGGAATCTTATTTAGGGATCGCTTTTATTTAGATGTAAATGCTAGCTCTAAAGCAGTTTTTAAATTAAGACACTGAGAATAAAAGTGTTCTGAAATTTTAATTTAATCATGAGCTGCTTTCCATTCCTTCTACAACTAGTTTTCCTCTACATCTGCTCCTAAATTCTACAATTAGATCAAAAACACAGGAATTTGTGTGATGTCCTCCTGCACATCCATTTTCGACAAGGCTGCATCCCCAGATATTGGCCTGCAGCTCACATTAATTTCAGTATCAATTACTTCTGTGAGGTGAAGACAGAGCTTAGAGGGAGATAAATATATTACTAACACACTTTGAGCGTGAAGAGTTTAACAGAGCCAATTTGACTGTAACAAGCAGTCCCACATAAATTTATGAATAAATTCTTCTGCATGTTATAGATATGAGAAGGTATTCAGGTTCCATACTACTCATTTTTAGCCATAAAAATGGTATCAGTGTTACAAAAATACCTACTTGTTTACTTTCAGGGTAATATTGGCACTTTCATTCATGAAAAATCCATTCAGTGCTACACAGTGCAGAGACTATGCCTTGTAAGCCAGAGAGGAACTGATATGCAGAATACTTTACTCAAAAGTAGATTTTAGAATAGTATTTTCTTTGTTCTAAGGAATTTTAATATATCTTCTTTATTTACTTTGATGGGAAAACTGGTAAAAATGTGGCTGAGGTTTGAATATCCAATGAGTACTTTCACCATCACCGAAGACTGGCTTCCACCAAAAATTTGAGAAGTAAATGTAAGAAAAATGCTTTGTTTTACACTGTAATTTTTTTTTTAATCCTGAACTAAGTTTTATTTTTATTTTGATGTTTTTTCTTAGGATGACATAATTACATAATAAAAATAAATTATTTTGAATATTTAGTAAATACTATCTCAAAAGTAATTAAGAAGAAGTACTCTTAAGTCTGCTGTAAAACATTAAGGAACTGAAGAGCATAAAATTTAAAGGTTATTCAAGTGACAATTATTTGATGCTGAAATAAAGGGCCAGTGCATTTCTTAAAGAACAATATTGAACCACTGTATTTCAGGACAGCATTAAAAAAACATGGATGCTTGATACTAACTTGTTAAATCTGTAGGTACTTAGTACATATATACAAAGATGCCTGATTTACCAAATGCTGAACAGAACAAAGAAACAAACCACCATTTTTAGGTGGGATACCACATTTTTTGGTTATTGAAAACTACTGCTTTGAATTTACAAGAATTGAGGAGCAGGTCACTAAAGGGTTAAAGTATTAAAATAATCTGATGACCAGAAGGGACAGCAATTTTTAAGATCTGAAATATACAAAATGTTTTATTAAAAAATTATCTGGTTTTCTACTTTAAAAACTGAAACTGGTCAGAGGAATATTATTTCAGGCCAATATGGAAAAAATATTATTTCTTAAACCACAAAGGGACAGTTTCACATAATGTCATGAATGGAACTTTAGCCTTTAGTAAAAAGGAAACAAAATTCACTTTGTAATATGAACCTCTATCAAAGGTGGAAGAGAGACAAATATTACATGCTATCTGGGCTGCCATGCCAAGAGGGTAAATTTAAGAAAGAATTTCCTGGCTTTGGAGTCCATAAGCCTACTCATTAAAAATTCCTCTTTTTTTTTGTGGTTTGACTTCTTCCCTTCTGTTCCCCCAGCCCTTTTAGAAAATTTTAAAAAAGAATATAAAACTCTGTTGAAAACCCAGTCACACGGCCAAAGGCGAATATACTAAGCACTGAGCATGTTCAAAGTCTTAAAGCCAAAATTATTCACCTAGTAGACATTTCTGTCCTGCACTGTACAAAAATCGATTAAATACTTGATGTAATAATGAGGGAGTTCAGACTGCTTATCCTTAGTTTTCTAACACTATAAAGCAGTAGTGATATTGTTTTAAGGAAACATACTTCAGATTTCTGAGTTACAAGTGAGGAAAAAATGTATAAATACATGAAATAGTAAGAGCAATCAATATCCAGATTTTTACAAATCCCTTAGGAAAAAGAGAGGACATTATTTTTCTGTGTATTACTTCTCAGCTGAGACTCTTGAAGCCCCATTCATTTACCAACAGGCACTCAAAAATCCTTTCAACTTCAGTAAAGTGGGTTGAGCATACATTTATCCATCAGCAATCCATGCATCAGACCTCATTACAACACAAGGTGTTTTGAGAGCATGATCTACTGTTTCATAACATATTTTAAAATGACTTTTCTATATTTTTAGCCATAATTTGTAGGTACCATAAAGTCTGCAAGCTGGTGACATTTTATTTTGCAATTTTTTAATGTTTTACCAGACAAACCAGCTAAAATACTTTAAACACCATATTTCCAGCTGTGCTCTGATCTAATTAAAAAAATAAATTACAAATGTTAGATACACTTAAAGTAAGTTTAGTTTATGGTAACTGTGGCTTGAGCTAAACACTGCTTCATGACATCCACACTCTTTGTAGACCATGACACAAACAGGTTTCTACTTGTCCTGCCTTCTCCAGAGTAGAAGTTTATTTGTTTATGTTTTTGACTTGGCCCTGTCATTGCAGTTGAGATCAGAAGAGATGGATGCGCCTGTTTTGCTTTCTTGACCTTCTGAATAAGCAGATGTGCCAGAAGTCTGCAAAAAGCCAATGCCAGCACTACAATGAATAGCATTATGCACATACAAAAGGTAAAGAAAACTTATTTAACCAAATTAGAAATTTTTTTTAATTTTAAGTAATTTAAGTTTGTAAAAAAGGAAAGGAAAATGAATTTTTTTTTTTCTCATTTCCTTGTCTGATTTTGACATTCTCAGCAAGAAGTCCTCTTTGAAACAGGCTGACTACAAGGGGATTGTCAAGTAAGCGCACTGCCCAGAGAACCCATTGGGATTGCAGAACATGTCTTCAGGGAAAAAAAAAAAAAAAAAAGAAAAGGTCATGTTTTCAGATGGCACATAGTGACCTGCAAATTATGTCTGAGACACCTACAGTGCTAAAAAAAGACAGTGTTGCAGAGAAGCAGTAGGCTTCCGAAATAGGAAAGAAGCCTACAAACCAGAATGGTTTCAATGGTGTTCATGTTGCTACAGTACTCTGATAGATTTGGCAAATTTTTTAAGGCACATTAGTAGTGATTCAACCAGAAGCACTAGAGAGGAGAATAAAACAAGGACCATCAGAAACACTTGCATTTCTTTTGACAGCAGAAAATTCTGTTGTGATGTGCTGTTTTGAGACCACAGTAATGCAGAATTGTATCCAATTTGTTTAGAATAGAGATATCTGAACAAATACAACTGTGCAATATTGTATTTCCACAGCATTTTAAAATCAATATGACACATCTCTTCTAATGGAGAACAACACAGAATAAATAAATGATCATTAAACCCTGTTATTAAAATTTTCACAGCCACGAGGCAGTGCCCTTCAACATGCTTAACACAGATGGGTGAGATTCAGGTGCTGTTAAGTGCCTTACCAGAAGTCATCTGATAAAACTGTTCTGGTCAGAAGAATAATTCTAAACAGCGTATAACAGATATATGCTGAACCTGAAATCATGCTATGAGTTTCCACTAATTTTGAGGAAATTTGGTTTTGTTTAATATTTATCACTTCTTTCTTAAATGATTGTTGCAAACTGAAGAACCTAAAATCACAAATGTGTCTGCACAACACTGTATAATGACTCTCATAATAAATATTAGGACAAAGGTAATTTCTGAATATTTTTTCATTATTTATAATGTTACTAAATGTTATAAAAAAACAAATGTCAGAACAATTCCTGTACAGGGATAAATAAGCTCATAGCAAAGACTAATGTCACAGGTCTTTCATTTCATAATATTTCAGGAATACAATAAATTTAGTTTAGGAGGACTGCAGAAACAAATGCAAGAGAATAGCATAATCCCAGAAAACCTTTGGTGTACAAGTTACATAAATTACCACAAGAGTTCATTAGACTCACTCTCGGTGCTCTTTCTAAGTGTTTGGCAATAGCCGAATCATTAAGGGTGCATCACTCCTACAGCAGATGGAATTGCTACTGTTCAAAACCAAAAAAGAGTGGAATGGAATTTACCAGAGAGAAAGCTGGTGTGTTTTTGTAAAATGTTCTACTGCTTCCCTCTTTCTGCTTGCAGCTTCATTTCACTGACAGCAACATTAATGGAATCTTCCTTGGTGGCACTTGTATCAAAAGGAACCATTCTTTTCATATGTGCTAGAAATAAGTCAGACAAAAAAAGTAATTAAACATCTTCAGAGAAACACATACATTTTGCTGACTGACCATCAATGTTTATATGAAACATATATTTCATTATACAATATTATAATTTACAGAGCAAGCAATATGCTATTAATAAATATTCAATATTCATAATGCTATGAATTGAGAAACGGACTTATTTTTATAGAGAAACAGATTTTAAAACTAAATGGTACAGGCATGGCCAAGAGCTTTCTTATACAGAAGAAATGTAAACTTCATTTTTTAAAATTTGATAATTCCACTAACATTTATTTTCCATTTAATTTTCCAGCATTTTTGTTTTAATAAGACAAAACAAACCACTCAGAAAATTCCCAAAGTAATATCTTTACCAATAGCATAGACTAAAGTCAACGAGTGACACTGAACAGGTGTTCATAGGATGCCACTCTGTGTATATACATTCACAGCAGGGTGCATATATAATGCTTATTTCTAAATACATTGTATTGCATCAAAATCTAGACAATATGAACTGACAGAACATCTTATGATAAAGTGCTGGAGGAAAAAAATCCAAATATCCAAACATCTAGCAACTATTTAGCAAAAGGCAGAAATTAAGGGGAAGAAAATGGATATCAGCTTATACAACATACCCTTCTTCTAATGGCCTTCCTTATATCATAAGCATGTAAGAAAAGTGGTCCTTCCTGATTGTTTGTAATAAATACCCAGAGTGCAATTTTTTAATAGTCCAGTAAAATTGTAGCAGTATATAACCAAAAGTTATTTAGTAGGGAGCGAGTCTTCACAGTTTGATTAGGAGGAGTGAGATGTTTTCACTTTCGGGAGAAGAATGAAGTCACTGTGTTTGGGACATTAGTAAAACAGTGAGTTATCATTTTTCAGCACAAAGTTTTCAGTATTGATCCAAAACTATGTTACTGTATGCTATTTCAGCGGTACCTCCTGTGGTCAGTATTTAAAGTAAAGTGAAAAATCATAAAGAAAATTCATTGCTAAATGAAATAAATTTGCATTTTTCAAAGTGATGATGTCAAGTTTCCAATCATTCCAGGTTCTTATCCTTGAGCAGCCTTCAAGGTTTGGTTCTAGAATGGTGTCCCACAGCATCATGATGCTACAACATCTTTAATTACATTACTTATTTATAAATGTCAATACAAATAGTCTTAAGAACTTATGAAAAAATATACATAGAGGGATAAAGACAGACGTCAGCTTACATTGCAGGAGTTAATTGTTATGACAATAAAATCAACATTCAGGACAACTTGTTTTTATTCAACCATGATATCATTGCTACTATATACCATGTTGACACAAGAGTTGTGTATCACCAGAGCCAAAGGGTCAGAGAAGACTGTGATCGCAGCTACAGAAGTTGGGAAAACTGCTGGCTATTTTCTTCTCTGTAAAGTCACAGCTTATGAAGCCCTGCAACATAAATTCCCAACAACAATAGAAAGCCTGAAAGCCATGTGGCTTCTGGGAAACCATCCAGGTTAAAACCTTGAAGTGATGAACTGTACAAAGAGAAAGGCAGGACCCAATTCATGCAAAGCATGTGTAACTCTAGGGACCTTTGTAACACAAAATTTAAGAAAAATACAGTGGCCATGAAAAACAATTTCTGAGGATTATTCTTTAGATAACAACTAGTAGTGACTTTTTAGACCAACCGTTTTGGTCTGATAATAATACAGACTGCAAACCAATGCTTCCTTGTATAAATGATAACTGAGAGTTAGACTTCTTCCTTTCTAAGAAAATGGGTATAGAAATAAAAGCTAATTCCCACAGCATCTTTAAAATAGTTTGTTATGGAAAAGCTGTTACAATTGTAGAAATTATACCAGAAACATGAAGACCAGACATAAAACAGAATGTTAATATTAATTACTTTTCCTTTTAACTGCCTGCTGCATTGGCAACCTTTTACTAAATATATATATATGGAAGTAGATTGCTGTTCCCTTTTTTTCCCCCCATACTTTTTGTCCCTCTTTCTTCAACCAATTTTAAACTTAAATCCCAGGATCCCCCTCGCAGATAAATTATATTCTATCAAACGTGTCTGCTCTCCTCCCTGGTGCTCTCTGTAAGTCCTAAGAGACCCACATTGGGAACGGAGCTTCTGGTACTACATATTGACTCTATAATCTGTAAGGTTTCATGAATTTAAGAGAGAGGGAGTGGGGAAACATTAAATCACAAAGGCTTACAAACTGCTCCAAAAGGTAAATGAAAAAAAAAAAGGCCATTCTTCTGTTTCTGAAGAAGTAAGGAGATAAATCAATCACAGAAAATAGGTAATGACATTTATAGGTAGTTTTATTAAAAGCTACAGGAGGTTTGGGAGCAAAAGTCCTCAAATTATACTTCACTGTCAAAGTCTCAAATTATAAATAATTAATATAATTACTGAAATTAAAAGTTCATGGTGTTTATGTGACTAACATGGCTGAAGTAGCTGATTTTATAATTTGCCACTCACTGGCAAGTACGAGAAAAGCTCCTTAATGTTAATACCACTGCAGAATTTTCACTGTCCTCAGGAACTATAGCAACAACTTCAAAATACACGGTTGACTAGTGGAGATCAGGTTCAGCATAAAGGCAAAACATTCAGTCACTAACCAAAGTCCATGGAGTAATTCACATACCTTAGTGCCATAAGCTACCACAGATATCCACAAAGGGCTGCAAAAGATGTGATGGGACCTATGGGAAACCTATACCTTCCTGGAATGACAGCTAGAAGCATACTCCAGGACATCTAAAATGACATCAGGCATCTACAATGGGCACCTGACTTGCTCTTATACTTACTTACTAAGCATAAAGAACATGTAATAGCACTAACTCTTAGGAAAAAAGAATCAGCAAAGTGAGAAATTAAGAACACCACCTTAATTTTATCAGAGTCAAATGAAATCAGGGATATGTCTACTTATCTGTTTTAGCCTCAGAAAATTTGACTAATGGATTGTTATAGAATACAAGTAAGAAACTAAATCTCTAAAGATTTTTGTATCTGGTTCCT